AGCTAGACCTAAACAAAAAAGAACCATGAAGGAAAGAAATAATTTGGTTTAGGTCGCCTTTTGTGACTTGTCAGTATCCCGAAGGATTTCGCTGGTTAACAAGCCATCCTAAAGCACGAGTGGGAAAACTCTAGCGCGACAAATTTGGCAAGGAACATTCTGATTTCAACGGAAGCAAATCGATTAAAAATCGATACAGATTTTGTACGATCTGATTGGTCGGTTGGAAGAAGAGCTAATCGATAAAGATTTTAGGCAATCCTATTGGCTGGCTTTGCAAAGATGGGTACAACCGAACCGGATTTTTACCGTGGGAGTGCCACAGGCATCCCACGGAAAAAGCTCAACGGTTACCGCAAAAATTCCTGACACGTTCCCAGGCTCAAAAATCAGAGTTAAAGAGAGAGTGCAGGGCCTCACTCATGGGAAGGATAGCACGCGTGCCACGTAAGAGCCGAGGGAGGGCTGATAACAAGGCAAAACCCCACTAAAGGACGACAAATGAAACCTCTCCGTTTAAAGATCCATTAATTGGTAGAGAAGTTTCATCATGTTTAAAACTCGGTTGTGACTAGAAAGGTGCTTTTTATGAGAAACTAGGACTGAAGAAGTTATTTTGAAAAGGGCTGGTTAAGCTGTTTACCGAGACTGGCGAGATAAAATGGCCGAAGTAAGCACCCCTAATCATAATACCCTGTTTGGATTGGAAAAAAAAGAGCATTTTGCTGAAATATTACAAAAAATGTATTTCGTGGCGCCTGCCTTTCTATGAGCTAGCGAGGTTTGGACCTTACCCGCGCACAGTTTTAAAGTGCTGTTGATGAACAAAAAATACCGATCGTAAACATGCAACTAAGGAGGGAATTCAATGGGGTTTTTTTTGTTTCTTTTTCGTCAACTATTTTTTCTTGTTTGTAGTCTTGTACCAGCCAGTAACCTTTTCTCAATTTTCGATTAGTTACGCTATGGACTGGGAACCAAGTCACGGGCGAATCCGTGTGATGTTAGGGAGGAGTGGTAAAGTAGTATGCACTCTGAAGGTCGATCCTGTGTCCTCCACTGGTCGGGGAGATGTTCAAGTTGTCCGAGTGGAAGGAAGTTCTCACCAGACGGAAATCGAACGTTTACAGGTTAAATTTTGTCTTCTTTCTGTTGTTAATTGCGAACGTGCCACCCCACAACCATCGACGCTGCCACGGGTCATCACTATTACTTTGGCAAGATGCTATTTAGCAGAGAATGAGATTCTCACGCACTTAAAACCATTTTGAATCGCTAGTGTTTTCTTTTGAAAAGACAAGCCATTCATAATCACAAATTGTGCCCCAAGTGACGGTCAAACTTAACTGGCGAAGTGCTAGAGAACAGTTAAGAAAGGAATTCACATTATGTGCAATCTCTTTCAAAACCTGTTCATGCAATCTTCCCATCCTTGTACGTCGCAGATACGTGGTCACATTTCATTTCATTTTTTCTTCTTTTTTAGACGGATGGATCAAACAGAAATCTGACCAGGTGGATCGAAGACCTTCAGCAGCTGTTTAGTAATGAATAACAAATTCCTCAAACAGCTAGTGCAAAGCATTTTAAAAGCATAACACATAATTGTACAAAATCTTTTAATTGTTTTGCATCGTAGAAAGACCTAATTTAGTATATACAAATCTTGTTTTAGATGTTTCTGGTGACACGAGTATTTACAAGAATTTTTCTCGTTAACCAGAGTTAGATGTAATTTTAAACGGTTTTTTTATAAATAAATATTACGTATCTTATATTTATTGAACGAGTGTATGTGTTCGAGGAATACAAAAACAGTAACAGAACAATTTTTATGCTCTCGGTCTGTCCGCAAGCCTTCTTATATGACCATCCCGACCAAACACTTCACCTCCTTGGTTGGAGGTGAACTTAAGAGGACAGTGAAGCCTTGCGTTTCAAACGAGCATTGGGAGGAATACTTGATCAGAATTTTTTCTACGAAACGCAACAACAAACGTTTAAATTGAGTTAATACGGCTCATTTCATGACGAATAACTCAACATTTTTTTAAAAACAAAACTTCCTACAAAATTTTCTTGAGAATGAGAAAGTTATATATATTACCTTTAAGAGTATTCTATCGTTTATTTATAAAACAAATTCGACACGACTCACTTCACGACCTTCAGCTCCTTCACTTTTAAATTCTCCTTTCTTCGATAGCAGGCGTAAAATGACATGTTAATCTATTCGATCTATCCCGCGGAAGAGACGCATAACACTGCTCAACGTATAAAATAGTTCCTTAATTTTAAAACATCTGCTGCCAAAACTAGAAATCAAGATGAACGCTGCATAAAAAAAGAACACTGCGTTTAATGAGCGCGACACCTCAAGTCGTGTTTAGACGCGCCTCTTTGAAACGAAACTTCAGTGACTCAGTTCAACACGCATCTTACCGTAATACCTAAAAGAACTTCTCCTGGCTTACAAAATAATCGCTACAAATACGAAAAAAACAACGAATTTCACTGAAAGCTGTGAAGATGACTAATTTTGTGTCCTTCAAAATTTTATCCTCAAAAATACAATAATTTAATCTCTTTACATTTATAAATTCATTGCAATGTCATAAAAATACTCTGAGAGAACTCTGAATATTAACTTCTACCTGTTCGACGAATAACAGGAAGCATAATTATAGGTAACAATGACACAATTAATGAATTGTTCACCACACTCGCTTTACTCTTGCGAACGTTGGAAACCGGTTGTTGTGATTTTCTTGAAAGTAATGGTACCCGTGAGCGAGCGCCTTTAAGTGCTGACAACACTATATCTGAAGTGAACGCAGGAGTTCCTGTGTTGACGAACGCTTCCAGCCTTTGGGCTTCACGATTACAAGTTTCAACCTATAAAGACCAAAACAAAATCCAAGTTTAGAAAATAGGAGACCCCGTTTCCCTGGGGTCTAGTCCCAAGTCTCACTCTCGGGGATGGGGAGAAGAGAGATCCTAGAACGAGTTTGACAAGAAAATCAGTGTATCAAAAAAAAGTGAGTCTCTGTAAAGAACTACATGAGGAATAAAATGAGCAGCTTTGAACATCTACGTGAAGCCTTGGCATGAGGAAAAACCCTCCGTTCCAGAAAAAAATAAACTGAGTAATACCTGAAGGATTGTTGGTTTTCCCGTGACAGCCATTACCAACACCACTATATCACCTTCAAGACTGTGATACCCAAAGAGATCGCACTCGGTCTGAAAATAGAAAGTAATTTGCAGGCAAGCTGTAAGTAACGCTTAATGAAAAGTAAAGTATGCTTAAGAATCTAGATTTTTTTCCAGTAGCTTCAAAAAAGTGTATTGGGTCATTTCCGATTTGCTCCGAGCCCCTGTTTCCAAGCGAGGCTAAGTGCGAAGCCATTGATATGAAAATGCGTTTTTATTCTCCTGCAATGAAACTCATTTTCAAAAAAAGGTTTTGCACTTAGCCTCGTTATGAGAGTGAGAGATTTTGGAAACTGGAAATTGCCCATTTCAAACTGTCACTCTGGACAGCCATATTCGTCAACAAAACTGAAAGAAAAATATTAAAAACTAAACTGACTTCTTTTAGCCGAACGCACTATGATTCTGATGTTACTACTTGCGCTTTTAAGCTGGAGAGCAGCGGCGACCGATTATTAGATTCAGTTTTTTTAGACAGGTGTTCATCACATGTTCACAATGTATTTTTATTGTACTTACAGTGGAAATATGACGCCGCAAGAGGAGAAATAGTTGTTCCAGTGTGACTGTCTCATATATGCTAAAACCTTCTCTGTTCTTCATCAGCTGTTTTAGACTGTACAGGATTCGAACTTCCGCGACTAAAAGACACAGAAAAGTGTGACTTAGATGAAAATTAAGGCGCGACCTCAACAAGCCAAAGCTTTTTTCACGGTAAGGCGGATGAAAAGATGTGATTACAACTCAGCCTGTAACCTGTAACAATGTAACTTTCGTACAGTGTATCACATTATACAATTTTGCACAACGTGACCGAACTTAAAATCAAAGATTAGCCCTTTATGCCTTGATCATTATTTTCTCATTGACACGACCCACAGTCAGTCAGTCAGTCAGAGGGGTCAAAAAAGTTAATGACGGGATGAATTCTATTGACAATCATTTCAATTTCTCAAACGACGGTACATGTACAAGAAAAGGGTACTTGTCTTTTGCTATTAAGGTTCTCCAACGTCTACCAAGGTAAATGCATCCGAAAAAATATCAAATACATAATCCCGCACCGAAGTTTCTACATCTTCAATATGAGACTCTAAGATTTAAAAAAAATCTAAAATTATCGCAGGTTTAAGTCTGAAGTATATTTTGTCTTTTCATGTTTTACGAAATGGATGAGTATCGCAGGTTTCAATGTAAAGATTCTTACCACAGTGAGGGCAGCAAGCCCCAGGTGGAATGATTCCTGTACAGTCAGGTGGATTCACCTTAGGACACTTCACATTCTTACATCTTGGCTCATCTCCTGAGATTACACACACACACATTAACACCTCAGAGCTCCTCTTCTACAGTTTGCTCAGAATCTTGACGTTAAGAGAGTTATGATCGCAAGGTAAGGGTGCTCGTCTCTTTTTGGTTACTAATGGTTTCAAAATGCGTGCGAGGTTTTCTTCGTGCTGACTAGGACTGGGTAGAATGACATGCAGTGATTCACATTTCTATAACCTGTCTCAGTTTAGAATCAGAATTTAAGTATGTATCCAAGGTGATGGTTACCTGACTCGTCAATTAAGTTAGTAAGCCGTGATGTCATTAATGTGAAGAGTCAGTCCAAACGCGAGTGGTGCGTTCTCAGTAGTCCTTCGTTTCAGCGTGAACTGTCAGTCAAATTCTAGTCCGCTGACCAGTTCACAACAACTAAGGCAAGTGTATAAACGATTCTAAATCGAAACTGTCGAGAATTGTCTATTTACGAATCCTGCACAGTAGTGTGGTATATATATACTCACCATCTCCGACTCCGACTGCCCTGCAGCGACCGCGGTAATCAATAAGAACTCGGGCTGAGTCTGCTGCACATGTACTGGAGTAAGTCTCACCATTCACTCCGCACACGGCAGGGGACGAGGGCTTACATTCATCCTATCAAATAAAAAAAAAGTCAATCATGAAGCTGCAAGCTGATCACCAAGTGCAATATTTTCCTCTTTCTGAATTAAAAATAACACCGAACTTGGCAGGTAGAGTTCCAAAAAGTGTAAATCAAGAGGACACTATAACTTTAAACAGCAACGGTATCTTTGCACACTTTTCTGTTTTGCTTTTTTTTTCACATAATTATTCACCTTGCAAAAACCTTTATATGCCAGACTCTTGCCGTTGAACTGTAACGAACAAAGGTTTGGGTGTTGGCGGTTGTCCGTGTCGCAAACTGGATCCAACTGAAGATCACTGCAGTACTTTCCCTCCGAAACTGGCAACACAAAAACAACAAAAACAAAGCTTGAGAAATATTTTAAAAAAACTGACAGAAGTACTGAGTAAAGTTCTTCTGCTTACACATACAAATACATGAGTATGGACAGCCTATTACCATTATATGAAGCAGTAGGTCTATTTGCCGCAAGCGTAACATGAAAGAATAACTCAATTTACTTACCACAGTAGAATTGGCTGCAGTGATCAAGGACGGAGAGGCAGGTCTTTCTTTCCACAATACACCTTGAAAATCAAAATCAAATCGCCCATATAAGTTCAATAGCTAGAGAAGGTTCAGACAGCAACCTTTAATAAATGAAATAAGCCGTGAACGTTAGGAGAAAAGTCTGACAATGTCATAAAAGTTTACACTAATAAAAACAAAAGCACGTAAACATAATATTATTTGCAGAAAGCAAAAGACGGGGATACAGCAAAAACTCTTCATACGTACTTTTCATCTGCAGCACAAGGATTTGATTCACAGGGATCAATAGAAGCACAGTTACCATACGTGTAATCAGAACTCCTAAGTCCCATGCAACTGGTTAAAAAAAGAGAAAGAAAGAGAAAATATAACAACAACTGAAACAGTCTTGCTTAATAGAGAACTGATTCTCAGTTCATACCAGCTAGTGCCAAATAAGCAGGACACAGAGGAAGCTTCTAAAGAAACTTGAACACACGCGTTTCTAGGAACTGATTTAGACATACTTTATTGGATCCACAGATGGAATATTATGGCATGCTACCTTTATAACAATCGATCAGTGCTGGTATGTGACCAGAGGCGTGTGGTAACCTACTTCTGTGTCAACCAATGTTGAATGAAGAATGTTTTATCCGATGGGGGCACTAAAGCCAGCGTGACAGGCATTGAAAGGGGAAAGGGAAAGAGCGGGGCGCGCGCCTCGCGCTCTCCCCTTCCCAAGTCACGCAAGCAGGAGCTATTACGCAATGACGAATAACACCCTCCGAGATCGGCGTAATTCTTCTTGTCATACCCAGCCTCATCATATACTGTAATCATATAAAATTATTATTCCTACTAAGGTATTTTCACGCGATCCCTCTCTACTAACAACTTGATCTCTTGCCTGCGTGGCAGGCGCAAAAACGGGAGGGGGAGGGAGAAAAGCGCGAGCGAGGGGAAAAATGAAAGGGAGCCTTACCCTCTGTCCCCAATCCCCCTCTTTTTCCCTTCCTCCCTACCCCATACCCCTTTCGACGCCTGCTAAGCAGGCTACTTGATCTCCAACCACACGGTCATAAACGGATACTTTCGTAAACAGTCCACTCCAGACTACAAGTTCATAGAAGGATGATATCATTCATGTGAGAACAGAGGCGCAAACTCTTAAGTCTGCATGCGTTCAAAAACTTAAATGGGGTCGTTTGGCCTATCACCAGAGCCGGCACTAAACCAATGGCCCCATGTAAGGGAATACAAGACAGTCTCAGCTTGGATTCTGGATTCCACGCTGTGGACTCCGGGTTCCAGTTAGTGGATTCTGGATTCTTTGTCAGTGGAACCTTGGATTCCGGATTCCAATCGTTAGTACGATTCCAGATTCCACAAGCTGAATATATTCAGGATTCTGGCTTCCACAAGCAAAATTTCCCGGATTCCAAATTCACCAATAATTTCTCTGATTTCGGAATCCAGGTTGCCTTACATAAGGCGAAGACAGAGCTCAGTAGTATTTGCTTACCGTGCAACACAAGGGTTGGGGTAGGTCTTGCCATCCCCGCCACACAATGGTTGATAGACATTATCACAACCACATGGCAGAGTTATGATTAAATCCGTATCTATGGACTCGTTGCCAGGGGTTTGGTTTCGTTTAGGCCGGCCTAAAAAAAGAGCAGATATATTAGTCCAAGAAATAAGACAATAACTGTCTTTGAAGTGAGGTCCGGCTTGGCTTTTTGTTGACATCTATCAATTTTATAATTTCTCCGCCGTTTTTCAACTTGAAAGTAAATTTAATCCCGCCAGCAAATAAAAGACATTCGACCGCAGTAACTGTGCCTTCCACCGATTTCTGACGTGAAAACCGTAGGAATAACAAGCGAATTCGGCAGACATTTCCTCATAATAATTTTTAAAAGTTTAAAAAAGTAAAAACAACGACGTCTTGAAGTTGAACTTACGTCATTATCAAGTAAAAAAAAGTGTCTTTTGCCGAGTATAAACACTAAATAAACAATGCTTCATTAAAAAGCTAACATAAAGTGTCAGGAATGTTAGTTCAAATAATGAGTTTTGCACGAATTGAATCGGCCGGGTGTTCAACCTTGGGAGACGAGGAAAAAGCGGTTTTTTTTGGCCCGAGATTTTAACAATGCGGGTCAAAAATTATCACTTGCAAATGAAACAAAAAAAAATTTCTCACGGAATTTCAGTAGCTGTCGACGTTTTAAACAAGTATGAAGCACTTGACAATCAAGAGAAGAAAGCCTCCTACTATTTTTTCCACCTAAATATTAAGCTGTGCACTAACTTGCACTGAAAATGAAGAAAAAGACTCACTTGCATTATACTCTGGTGAAAGCACAGATGCTGGACACTGCCTCTTGGTGCAAGTCACCTCTCCAGAGAAACATGTACATAAATTGCAGTCATCCATAAACAACTCACCATCATCTGCAAAAAAATCATGCCAGTGAATTAAACGTTGATCAGTAGCCTGTTCACTGACGTTTTTCCTTTCTTCTTTTCCCCACACCCCAACCCCTTGCGTTTGCGATCAATAAACGCGCGGTCGACGATCTGTAAATCAGAGAAAATAGAGGGCCTGTGAAAAGGCTATTGATCAGAGAAGTACGGTGGCCCAGAAGGGTCACACATGCAAATTAAAAATGTTGCTGCAAACTAAAAATTTTACCTGCAAATTCAAAATTGCACATGCAAACTAAAAATATTACAAACATGAAACATGAACGGGCCGAGGGCTGTAAGGCCAGGTCACACGGCTCGGACCAGGTCCTCATCACTCATACTGCGCGCGCTCATTTTTAATTTGCATCGATATGTTTTCTATTTTCAATTTGTACCACAATTTTTAGTTTGCATGTATTATATTTAATTTGCATGTACAATTTTTAATTTGCAAGTACTATTTTTAATTTGCAGCAACATTTTTAATTTGCATGTGTGACCCTTCTGGGCCACCGTAGAGAAGAGAGAGTTCTGTAATTTAAAGACAGCTTAGAAGGAAAAGTCAGGTAAAATGTAACGTTAAAGTACGCGTTTTGTTTAACTTTGTCATAGGTTGCATAGTTTTGTTTCACACAGCATACAAAAATGTAAGGAAAAGACAAATTATGAAATAAACAATGGCCAACAAGGTTTCACTCACTTATGGCCATAGGTTTGCCCGGAATGTAACAAGGCTTTCGTCGAATGCAGTCCAGACTTTTGCATTTGCTGAGTTTTGATGTACCATCACAGTGACAAATTTTATAGCAGCCGGCTCTTCCACTTGGATCAGGCACCTAAGATCAGTAACAAAACCTTCAAATCATGGGTCTCTCTTTTATCATAATCATTTGAGATGCATGACCTTTCCACAGTTATGGTTATTTTCGCCTAATGAACAATAAAACTAAGCTGAACAAAGGAGAAGTCATTAAAGAGATTAAGCAAAGACGTTTTGAGCGACGAACGTCAACTGAAGTGACGCCTTTTCCCTTTTAAGTGTCTTTACGCTTATAAAAGCAATTTGCCTGAAAATTTGGGCAAAACCATTGCCTAAGACGGCAAAAAGTTCACTTCTGTCTGACCTGCGTCGCTCAAAATCGCGTGAAAAGGTTTTTTCCCGCGCTTTGCCGCTCCCTGGATCGGCCCCGACGAATCACCCTTCGGTGTCCCTCATTTCCTGGGTATCATAACAACTGACCTGCCGATTAATAATACCTCCAGGGACCGAATCGATCGAGGATAAATGTATACAAAGAAAAAACAATCAATATATAATGACAGCTCATTGTCGTAATGACTGCTTACCCTGGCAAACTCTCCCACTCGCACAAGGAAACTGGATTCATCACCAAGTGGACAACCTGTGCGGTGTAAAACGATGTTGGTACATCAATAAAACAAAACGGAAATGGACTGAAAACCAGAAACTTTTTGTTTCTGTATGCGTCCATGGCGAAAACACAAAAGAGTGTTTAAGCAAGATCAAATGGAGGTAAATTACACAGCAGATGAATTCTTGTGGTCCGAACTAAGCTTAGAAAGTGAAAGAATAAATCGCTGTCGTCTTTATCTGTCTTCCGTAAAATGCAGCACAAGGAAATTTTAAGCTGTAGTCGTGCAGTGCCGGACAGCAACGAAGTGTACAGTGTGTAAGTGTAATGCACGCACAAATTTGTTGGTTGGTTATTAAGGTTATTAGACCTATCACTTTTTCACGTTCTCCTTGCCGTCGCCATCGTTGTTGCTAAAACTTCCTTTTTCTTATTCAGTTGTACCATATTTTGTTAATGAAACAGCCCTGGCAGAACAGGCCCTGTGAAGTAAGATGGTGTAAGATACTATGTACATTTACCTGGGACACAAGTGTATGATTGACACCTGTCAAGGATAGCACTGAAGCATCGTCTGTTGATGTCACAAACTTGTTTTTCCTCGCAAGGATTTGGATTGCAAGGGTGCGTCACTGCAAATCACATCACATAAAATTAATCTTAGTGCCTCACCTCAGTTGTCCAAGAATAAAACTGATAATCAGACTTGAACGCTAACGAAGTTTTAAAGCAGTGAAGTTATTCATGGCTATGATTGCTACCAATTAAAATATTATTCACAGTTTCAAAGCTTTAATACCTTCATCTGTCACATCTTCATACTTGCTGGGTACTGAAAAACAACAACATTGTTCGCCGTTTTTAAATAGTTCTTCTCCGAAACACATTGACTCTGCTGTCAATTATATCAAAACACTTCCTACTGCATAAGAGATTTGTGTCAAGAGCTTGAAACGATAGGTATATGCACTAACAAATCAACCAAAAAAAAACATTGGAAAAAGAAATTTCTCTATCCTTTGAACACAAGACACAAAAGTTTGCAAACAAAAAGTGCTAATTACATAGTTAATAATTATTGCCCTTGCCATAGTGAAAACTTGGTTTTAGTTTACTAAAACTTCTTTATCAACAACTGTTGAAACACAATTTTCAAACTGACACTCAGATGACGTTACAAGGAGAAGGGCGTAGATGTTCGCAATCAGAACATTACAGAGCTTAAAAATAGGCTATAATAAAATACATGTAGATACCTAAATATTCTTTGAGGGAAATACATGGTGCATGTTTGTCAGGCGGTGAGAGTGCATCACACACATCCTCAGCTGACAAGCCTCCCATATCAGAGCTTGAATTGCGACATCTTTGTAAAATTTCAACACAATCTGGCCTAAAAGTACAATATACATACAATTTCACTCAGCTTAAAGATGGAAATAGGATAATAGACCTTCATGTAGTCTAGCTAAGACTAAGACTACGAATTGGCAACGGTGGGAAATGCTATATGGACAATCTTGGCCAATTTGACTGACAAACAATAAGTCTCTCAGACATGTTCATAATAAATCTTACTAAATGCTTTAATTTTCTGGGAGACCTAAACTCTGGGGTTAACCAAGAGTTTGAGTCCTTTAACAGCATACACTACAATTGACATATGTTAAAATTTACGGGTGTCCACACAGAAGTGCAACATCTCACAGCTGAAATAACGTAAATTAATAATGACAGTCAGTTTCTACCACCAACCTGCAGATTGTGCTTCTGTGAGATTTAATGCTGCATGGCTTAATTTGAAGAATACAAGCAATTGCCTGGAAGGAGAGAAGCTCAATGGTTACTTACTACACAACAAGTCCTTCAATTATGTACATGTACATGAGCAATTATTATAAACTTTATGATGATAGAACAGTATAGTCTAAAAACGATATGAAAACATTACACAAATCTGAGAAAAGAGGTATTAAGAAGTGAACAAAAACAATCGCACCAACAAAAACGAAAATCCCAGCCAACATTACAGCTAAGAAGACAGCACACACCTTCCACGTTTCAGGAAGACATTTCTTGATGTCCATTATTGGTATTTTGATATCAGTGTTAGGTATCTGGATGTAACCTTTTGTCCACTCTAGCATGTAACTCTTGGCATTTTTATCTGAAGCCCTTTTACAGCTACGGAACAGTTCAGTATGTCTACAATGCAACAACAACATACATCTAAGGATTAGGATTGATTGATCAGAGTTTCTAATAACTAAAGAAACATTTACACCTCAGAAAAGGCCACAAATCATTGGGCCTTATTTTTATATGAGGCTAATATATATTCATACATTCACACATCTAACCTCTGAAAGATAAAGCAAATTATGTTTGTATGCATTTTGATTTTTAACACCATGCATCTATGGAGAAAGACATGAGACTATTACAAAGCAAAACAGTCTCATGTGCATGAAGCACTTAAGCCCCTCCCACGCCCCTAATTTCCAGCATCCGTCCCCAGTCTCACTCTTTGTTTTCAGCCTCACTCCAGGTCTTTTGTTTGACTGTTCATGCGTACTTCAATACACAAAAATACAGACTGTTTGTAGTCTATGACAATATTTAAACAAACCTGTTGTTGAAGTTTGTGCAAAAACTGAGCCCTGAGCAACCCAACTGGCATGGTTCAGTAACTGTAAACAAAACAATAAAATTGCAGGATCTTAATGCCTGAAACATTGTCTCCATGAAAACATTATCTCAATATCAGTTGTTACATGTATATCACTAGACCTGATCTATGACAGGCTTTGCCAAATAGCTCAGTTTGATGGCCATGCAGAGATAACAAACCATTCATTATTGGGGTGCCTGTGGCAGAGCCAATTAAGTTTTCACTGGGAAGTCATCTCTATGTAAAAAAGTCAAAGTGGCCCACGCATAACCCATAATGATACCCGGAGGGAAATGGCTCGATCTTTTACCAAATCCACTCAACTTTAAATTCTTTAAGGAAATTATAGAGATCAGTGTGAAGAATTGGATTGGAAGTGGATACTGCATGGGACTTTAAGGGTTCAATGTTTACTCACCATCAGCCAAACAGTTCATCATACTGACCTACAGAACAAGCACAATTAATTGATTCAGTACACAAGTCATGACAAATTTAATGATACCAAACCACTACAAGTATTTAGGAACTATGAATTATAAAGAAGCATTAAAATCTGGAGTGCATCATACCTCCCTAGGATTGTAACCACACTTGACATCAAATTCACGCCAGTTCTGGGTCCTGCCCCAACTAGATTTGTACATCTATACAAATTCAACAAATTATTTCATGAGTCATGTGTTTGGATATATGTCTATAATAGGTATGTAGTGAAATATACTCTGGGATGGAATCAACAACCAGGTAAATTACATAAAAAGAAAACCCAAAGTATAATAAATGAATAAATGGCTAAAAAACTTGAGTGAATATAAATATTTTGCAGCCAAAAACTGAACCTACCACAGGAAGTGAAACTGGATGAAAATCCCGTACAGTCATTCAAGCCCTGCTTTACGGACACCAGCTTAATAATACAGACACCCCATTAATACGGACAGTTTCTGTGACCCGTTGAGTGCCCGTATTAATAGGGGTGACTGTATTTTATAAGAAATTATCAAACATTTTTTCATACCTTAGAAGAATAAATGAAAATAGGGGGGATATACTTATGTTGCAATAAGACAGACTAGTTCCATTTGTCACCATAATATTATTATATAATTCCAATACTAATTTCAGAACAAAACAATCACAGAATCTTGAAAAATATTCGTTAAGAACAGAGGCACTTATAAAACAAACAAACCTGAATACAAAGACGCCAGCAGCCAGAATCTTTTGCTTTAGAACAGCACTGAAGTTTAGCACTGTCAATTCCTAAAACTTAAATCACAAAGACACCAAACTTTCAAACATTTTGTTTACACCATGAGAACTAAACCATTATGAAGTATACCCCACTTACCCCTGCCTGCCATAAAAAGAAAAAGAAAAGAACATTTAGACTTCATACCTAAAATAAATTATTTGAAATAAGAATGAACAAAAGCATTATTCATGGTGATTATAAATAAAAGATGTCTCTCGCCGAGTGTTTTTCTGTGCAGTCCAATGAAAGAATTTTGTCATTAAACGTAACTTTGCTAACATATGCAGGGCAAATTATATCAATTCAAGAAGGATAGCAATACACATCCACAGTAGGTTATTTCATCATTTTATCATAAACGTTCTCCTTCAGCCTTGAAGCATATTAAAAGGTCAAATTTGTCTAATACAATTTATTTACCTGGTGATGGTGGCTGTGGTGTTCCTGTGGGACAAACTGGAGCTGTAAAAAACAACCATGAGTGTTACTGGTTAGAAATCAATATTAACCTACATTCATTCTCTATTCCCTTGGCCTCCTTACCCTATTTCATGAAATAACAATTATTATTAATATCATTATTATTATTATTATTAGGACGAAAATTAGGACTATGAGACCAAGGGAATTGACAATCAACTTACAGTGTGGACACAAGAAGTTTAACTATTTTTTTCATTACTAAGATTCTTCTACAAACTTACAGACACACTGGTACATTATAACATCACTATAGCCTTTAAAACTCTTATTCAAGTAGCCCTAAGTTACTTAACAGTTCTTGCAATTGACACCAGAAAAGTTGCTACACTGATAAATGGTACTTAATTCATACTCACCAGGATTCTTTTCTGAATTTTCAATAAGACAGGTCCAAAACCCATTACGCTGAAGAACAAAACAAAAGAATTCAAAACTAGTTCGTCATCATTAATATAAAAAGAGAACTGTGCTTGACTTAATTTCTTTGATTTATTATCACAGTACTCTGAAATAACTCTCTAACCTCTATCATTATTAGGACATAACAATGAGAAATGAATAGTGGTATTGTAAACTGTAAAAATATATTTAATATTGATGACCATGTTAGACCAACAAGCAGTAGTAAAAGTCAAGTATACCTTTTCATTGTTTTGTGCAAAAGGTTCTCCACAAGCCTTAACTAGATTTGAAATCATGGCAGTGCCACTTTTCTGTGACTGCAGGTCCTAATACAATGCAAATAATATATATTAATGAAATAATAACAGATTTAAATGAACAACATAACAAGAAAATAGTCTACAGGTATATCACTAAATACAATGACATACCTGCCGGCAAGTTCTTTTACATTTTAGATCATCATTTTGAAGTCTTTTGCAGCATTTCAAAACTAAAAGAAAAAACACAATTAACACCTCTCACATAACGTGAAACAAGCAAACAAAGAGGACACTTATAGTGTATTTTTTTAAATAATGATAATAATAACAATAATAATAAATAATCACCTTTACGTCTTGAATCTGATTCTGGCACTGTTGGAAAGAAGCACACTTTAGAATTTATGTTCACAGAAAACCATTTATTACAAACATTATAGCTTTCTACGGTCAAACATTGCATTTATTAAATGTCTATTGAGCAAGCAAAGAGGTCTACACAAGATAAGAGTGGTTTCACTGCATTGGTTGACCATGTAGTCACCAATGCAACTCCAAGGGAACATTATTACTGATTGCAGGATTAACTGTACTGTACTGTATGTAGCTTGTGCAACTTATAAATTTACAAAAAACAAAACATCATCTTGGCAATATCACATTTTTCAATAAGAAAAATATCATTTTCAATAGGATCCAATTTTTAGTCTTAAAAGTTTAATTATCCAAAACTACACCTAATAACTATGCATTGTACCGAGAGAGCATAAATAAAATTGACTCACCAGAGCATGACTTCACGCCAGCAGTAACGTTAGCTACACAAGATATTACATGTTGTCCATATCTTGCACAAGTCTTTTTCACATCATTCTTTGCCTTGAGTGATGGGGGTTGATCTGATGAAAATACCTGTCAAACGAATCACTGAAAGTTATTATAATTTACACAGCAGGGTGGAGGGAAAATGCATGTAAAATCTAACCTATGTACGAGGTGAGAAAAAGGAAGTTGCAAGCAGAAGCCCTACCCTACCCAGGTGTTAAGTATCCCCCACCCCCCACCCCTCACTGCAGCAGATGCAATCTTATTTACTGCTTTCAATAACCCCTACATATCAAACCATCACTTCAGTTTAATACCCCTATTCACGTCCAGTACATGTCTTCCTTCATAAATTAACTTTGGGTTATATGTTCAAAACCCATGACAAAATACAGTTGGTCTTTTTTCTTAAAAAAAAAAAACTCCAAGGCCAATATTTTTCTTATGAGGCTTAAAGTGCAACAACCCAAACCAGGGCACTTGGAAGAAGATTATCCAAACACAACGTTTTTTGAAAACAAAAGATTCTCCAGTTTTTTTTGCAAACAAAAAATAAAATGTAAGGTTCAACTATGCACCCACTGGAAACTTTAAACTGTTTGAACTTACTTGACCTCTCAGGAAACAGCCCTCAAATTTGTGAATGTTATCAACCCGTTTGCATAAAAAATTTGAGAATCTTTTGTTTTCAAAAATGTTATGATAGGATAATCTTCTTCCACATGCCTGGTTCGGGTAGTCACACTGTAAAATGTTTCTAAACTAAATCTTTGGTAGAACACGGATTTCATGCCATACTGATTATCTTTTACATGGGAAGTCAGGGTATTACTCAATATCCTAATATGGCAGGCAGGCAAACCAATCAGCTTGCTTAAAACACCAAAATCACTAGGTGTGTGTACATATTAATGATGTTTAAATTAAAATAATGCATTAACCCACAGTTTACAATGTATTAATTGTTAACTATGGCTTATAAGCCCTGGACTTATACATCTGTGAAGGGTTTTAGGACAGCTTATAAATGGAGGGGCTTATATCCAAGAGGGAGTATAACTAGAATAGAAAAAGCCCTTCAAACAAGCTACAGCAGAGCAGTGCTGATCAAAATATGTTTTGCATTACAGGTTTTTTATTAACCCTTTCGTTCGCAAGTTCCTGAGAAGGAAAAGGCCGCTAAAAATACTACCAACAAAAAATTTCGTTCTCATTATTGCATCAATCTTGATAGTATGATGTCAAAAATTGATGCAGACTGTTTAGGGATACATTAATTTGAAGCTACCACACATTCGGTACCAGAAAACCAAATATCCTATTTTTGAGAATTTTTTTAAAATAAATACTTGACCAAATATGTCTCCAAATAGTTGCCTATAAAGTTCTCCACACAGCAACATATATCAAAGCCAGTAAGAAAGATCGATCCAATGTCACACAAGCTTTATTTTGAAACCAAGAAAGCAGAATAAACAGTGTTAAAACTATGAAAGAATGGCTAAAACCTTTGCCTGGTCGATACAACATGGCGCTATTTGCATATGTTTCTTTGTAAAATGACAAATTTTGCTTCAAGTTACCTTTCAAGCATATAAATCCAGCACCTTTCCTCAACAGCATCACACACTTAAAAGTTCAACTGTTTGAATCTTACGCCTCGTGGTTTGCTGATCGAAAAACACGACCATTACCAAGAAAAATCCCCAAAAATATAACTGAAGCTGAAAGATCTTCGCCTTCCGCCGCCATTATTTGAGTTCGCGTGCTACTGAGGTCAATAAAATGTCGAAAATTTGACCAAAATTGATCATACAGACAAAAAATGTTGCCCATGTTGTTCTCTTTCTTGATCTAGTCACCACAGGCTACCCAGGACTCATGCAAATGCACGCTGACCATTCTTCTGCAGACCCCTTCTGATCATGTTTAGCGCCAAATCTTCATGATAAATCAAACTCATTTTAATACAAGTTAGAGGGGCGCTTATAATTGGATGATTTTTTGTTTACAGGTACATGGGCCTAAGACTGGGGGGGAGGGGAGGGTGCTTATATGTGATCATTATTTACAGTATATGCTTACCACTTGACAGGCCTTGATACATTTTAATGTAGTACTCCTACAACAACGTCTTGATGCTGCAGTGCCAAAAACATTCAGTCAAAATACTACAAGAAAATTTTTGTGACTTAAAATTAACTTTTCTTTGTACACTAAGACACAAGCAACTCACCCTGATATCTTTCAACACATCGAAACATGGCACTCTAAAGAAAACAAAAAAATTAACTTGGTGAGCACAGTACGCCTTAGAAGTGATTGTTGATGTTAACTAAATATAATTATATTAAATCATTCCTTTACCATCAGGCTCCGGTTGTTCAAACATTTGATATCACTATCCAGTGGATAACACAATTAGTTTCCCTCATACTTATCTGCTGGATAGTGATTTATCCAATGGATAGTGCTATCTAATGTTTGAACAACTGGGGCCAGGTTTGTATGTAAGGTTTAATGTCAGTTTCCAAAGGAAATGACTGAACAGTCAACCACCCTTGGGACTGGCCCCAGCTGACAACTTGAGCTGAGTCTGTCTTATAACGTTAGGTTACAGTAAAATGAGTGAAAAGAAGCAGGGAAGGGTCGCCAGGATCACCTCCAGGCAACTGTTTTATGAAGCTGTCCATCTTAGATTAGAGGTGTCCACACAGAAAGAGATAGAAAGTTGGCTCTGCACTCATCTTTGTAAGGCACCCATGTTTTAGAGCTTCATGTGGAGAAGCTGCCATTAGCCAAAAATGTGAGTGTTGAGCAGACATTTTCATTGTGCCATCACAAACCAGACCAAGTACTACTTAGTATTAATAAATTTGTAATGGGCATGTTTCTTCATTTTTTGACATGGAAATGGCAGTTGCAACACAACACTAACTGATGGGAAGAAAATTAACACCACAAAACTCTACCAGTGGCATAAAAGTTTAGGACAAAATTGAATGAAATCTTACGCATGACAATTTTACCTGTGTTTTCTCAACTCCTGTGAAAATTAAAATTTACTTTCTTGGGCTCCCATAAGAACCTTTTGTGGAGTTATTTCATATAACTTATTACACTTATGGCTCTTGATAAATGTAAAAAAATGCAATATGGCTTAAAATATTCTTGTACAAGCTTTTTGTCCACAGAAAATTAAAATTACTCAATTTCCTGATGAATTCCATCTTTATCTATCCAAGAGAAACTGCTGGGTTAAAATGAAACAAAATCAACTCAAAAAAAGATAGAAAATTTCAAAGAAATGCAGTGCCTCACAAAGAAGTCTGGATACAGACAGAGCCTGCATGTAGATGTGGGCAGGGCCGCTGTGCGACAAACGCAGACTGCAGACTGGCAGATAAACGAAGTAAACATTGCTGAAGAATGCTCTAACAGATTCCCTATCCCTAAACTAGACCTTTAAATGGCTTAAACTTTAAGGATAGGGACCCTGTTAAAGCATTCCACAACAAAGTTTTCCTCGTTTACCTGCCAGTCTGCAAGTCTGCAGTCTGCGTTTGTCGCACGCCGGGGCAGGGCATGGCTTATCAATGATGAACAATGAGAACAAACTTTTAGCATAACAATCACCATCCATGAGGCTATTACTTAATTACCTCTTCCAACTTGGAGCAATTTGACTTTGGATCATCCAGTTTTCCTTCTCGACATGCACGGCGACATTCAAGAGAGCTTGGAAGAAGGCAACAGGTTCTGGCATAGTTGGAAGGACTTGTTCCAATGTAAGGACTGATTTCTGCCAAAATAGATACAAATGAAAACTTATAGGAAATCAGTTTGAAAACAACCCTGAGATTAGTGAATAATCACTGACCCTGCTGCTTTAAGAAATACCACCTGGGGATTTAAACTATTAGCAACATAACTGAAAAAGGTTTATTAATGTCTTCACACATAAATAGTCCATTTAATACTTTTTTACTTAAGTAGTTAGTTTGATTCTGTCATATTGAGTGGGTAACAACACAGGCTTAAAAATAGGTTTATTATAATACAGAAGACGCCTACAAGACAAAATATTTCTAAACACATCACTGAATATTTCCCCCATAGTGTCTCTCAAATACTACTTGCCCTCCTGGGCATCACAAGACAAAACAAAAACAACAAAGTATCCCATTAGCAGCTGCATGTTTCAGAGACCAGATGCCATTGTGAGCTTTGAAACATGAAAACAAAAGGAAACAAAGAAGTCCAAAATGGCCCACTCTCTTAAAAGGTCTAATAATAAATATTGTGGTACATTACACAGTCCACAGGAAGCACTGATAAGTAGGTGACACATACCAGAGATGCATTGATTACAGACGGGATCAGTGAACTCTAGGATTGGGTTTTGCCAATAATTGACTTAAGTTGAGAATGGGCAGCTGGTTACATAATGAGATTTATAATGCTTTGTTAAAATTTCTGAATTAATTAACAAGTCACTGTTTGACTGGACTCAAACAAAAGACTGAGAAGGAAAAATTATTTGGGGAAGATACATTCCATTATCTTTCTACAAAAGTCTTAAACAAATAAAAGATCTTGAACAATCATAACAGTTTACTACATGCCACATGTAAACCGCTCACAGTAACAAATAATTTTTTAAACAAAGGTATTATCATGGTAATTTCAATGTGATGGATGGCCATCCAAATTATTTTGACAACCTTGCACAAAGCTGTTTGAAAGCATTCAATTCCCTACAGTGTAAATTACCTTTTAAGCATTCTAGAACCAGAGAAAACAACACTAACGGTATATCCAAAATATTTGTTTATAAAGCACTGTAACGAAGTGTGTATAAATTAAAAAGGCACATTAAAATGGCACCATGGAATCTATAAAACACTTTTAACTCAGTTTAAGACATGTTTGTATTAAAAAACATTCAATGCAGACAATGATTCATCCCACTTCCCTATTCACACCCAAAGCCTCTAATCTTGTAATTCATTAAGAAATCCCTACACACAATATATAACACAATAATAATCACATAAAGCTTACTAAAACACCAATGCTTTACTTTCTAAACTTTATCAACCTTCCAGAAAGTATTAATGAGTTCAAGTCAGCTGGTTAAGGCATTTACATATACTTAAGTCTGTAGAAATAACTCTTACTCATAAATTTTTTTCCCAACCCAAAATGTAAGAAAAACTTTGGTATTTGAAATATTTTGGCACCTTCCCATTTTTCACATCCATCATCATCAATACAGTTTACAAAAAAATCAATACGCTCCCCAAACCATTGTCAATTTGGCGAGTAAAATCAGGGTCAAAGTTCACAAGCACAATCACCTGAGCAAGACATATCAATTTTTTGATAAGAAACCTAGTGTCTATGTATGTTGATTGCATTATAATTCAGTTTTAAAATGCATGGTTTTGTCTCAATTACACACTATGTCTACCCACAAAGTAGCATTCAAGATTCAGCTAATTACTGTTGCTTCCCATATATGAAAGCTTTTAAATCATTAACCCAAATACGAAATCGAAATATTCAGTTCATTAACTCTGTATAAATACATTGTTACGTTACAATGCTTATATTGTGTACGGTCTATAGAATTAAGCAAGGAGGCACTTCTTCAAGTTTAAGGTGTTTTTACAGATCAATATAAACATTCACTCAGTGAAAAACGAACAACATACATAACTATTCAAAAATTACATCATATTCGGTTTTAGGATTCAGAGCAAATTGCATGTTTAAATGTTTATTAACTCTCTTAAAATAGTTGCACTGTGCGTATCTTTCTTCACTGACATTATTTTTCCTGTTGTGCCCTGGGTTGCCATTTATAAATGTGCAATGAACCTCATGCACATGTAGCTTAATATCCAATAACAGAACCATGAAAAACCTTTAATATCCAAGATCGATCTATGGAGCTGATAGATATGTCACCTACAAAATAACTGTGATGGTAAATACTGTTAACAATTTAACAATTTGTTTTTTATTCTACAAGGAGAATTCCTAGATCTGCGCCAAGATTTAAAAAATGTCAGTACTAGCGATAATAATTCCATTTTTTTTTTTTAGTAACATTATTTCAATGTACTTCACACAGGTTTTTAAAAAATTGAACCAAATTATTCATTTTTAGTTGACAGCTTTGAGCCAAAGGCGGGAGAACTAAAAAAATGAACAACATTGCACAGAACTGCACTGCTTGGGACTGAACAATAGAATGCATAACACTGAACATGGTATCACGGTAAACTGATGAAAGAAAAACGAGTTAAAATGTTTAAAATAAAGCACATTTGCAAAAGCAGATGGATTCCTGATACTTTAAAAGGATTACTTGATAATATGATCACTTTTTAGCTACTTAAAAGCTTTGTGGCTGATACCTTAATATTTAAATGGACTGCAAAATGTTCCAAAATCAAAATTAACTTGCCACGGAGATATCAGATTTCTAATCTAAGATTTAAGCTCAAATCAGTATCTGAGATTAAGTTATTTGCTACTTTATCCTTATTTCTTAATGGAGTTCATATAGAAATTTATGTAAAACCAAGCTTTATAAAAGACCAAATGGAACAAACATGATAGAAGACTTTTGCCCAGTGCAAAAAAGACAAATGGATGGCAACACAAGAAAATTGGAGGAAAACTTCTTCTGCAAACATTTGAGGGAAAATCCTCTCTCCTTACAAACGAATCCCTCTACCTTTTTAGGGGTGGTATACGTAGCTTTATATCGTACACCAGAAAGAGTAGAAGGCAGAACTTTGCTTTTATCCTTCCATCAGAAAATCTTTTGGTTAAGAATGAAAAACTATACTGGCGATATGATCTGGCAGTAAATGAAATGAAACCCGATCGACACATAAAAAGCATTCTTGTTCTCTTTTGTGTACGCCTGCGACAGTTCTAGATGGCCATCTTGCCTAATTTAGCGAAACATAAAACAGTTACCATCGCAATCCATGTACCATAAAAATGACTCTTTTGGAAAAGGCGACAAACAAATACAAGTCGGATACTACTCAGTGGACAAGAACAAAAAGAAAGAGCTTTGATGTGTAAGCTTACAAATACAGTAAGATGTAAGCTTACATCGCGTCGAACAAACTACATCAGTGTTGGTCGCCCAAAGCAAATTATTTCAATGCCTGAGATAAAATATTAACACCCCATTAAAACGCATAATTTCTTTTCTATTCCCAAACAAAAGATCACTGCCAAATCGCTCTGTGGGGGGAATCTTGTGAAAACAGATTGAACAAAACCATTTAGAGGAATGTGGAATGGTTCTTGACATTAAACAGAAGTGGCATCACGATGCAATTCTCGAATTCAAACAAAACGCTTTTAAAACGAAAATTAATTCTTAATTCAGGTTGATTAAGCTTAATTATTCATACTAGCCTCTGGCTGATCTCAAAAACACACTTTTAGTCTTCAGAAAAACCAAAAACTAAGACCATCGGTTTCAACTTGATAGCCCCACAAAACTGTGTATGATTTTCTTCTGTCCACGATACAAAAAAATACTTGCCCTTTCAAGTGTTGTATTTTCGAACGCTAAAATACTTCGCATACAATCATGCAAACCTTTCTTAACGGTTCATGGTCTCGAATGAAACGAAAAAATAACTGGCCAAGAAAAAACAATGCCACAGCCCAATTAATTTGCCATTAAGCTGCCCGCTTTGCATTGCAGATGATGCTATGTTAAAAGGTTGCTATTAACAGCGAGTCAATGATAAGAAAAAAGCGCGCTCAAACACGTGGGATTTTGCTTTGACAATTATGAAATAATCAGTTACATCTAAACTGAAGGAACTCCAATCCACTGACAAAAGTAAAGTGAAAAATTAAACCTCACCAAAGCCAGGATAACGCTGATAAATTCGGAACGCATGGATAAACACTCACATACGAAGCCACGCAATCGCGCGACCTTTCGGACGTAATTCACTTGAAATCTAATTCTCACCTCGTTACTTTTAAAGCGCAAACGACTATAGTGTCTGTGAAAGTTAAAGTACACACAGTTCACAATATCATGCATCTCTTTAACATTAAAAACGAAGGCGACGAAACTTAGACCGAAGCTAATTGGCCTATTATACGAAGCAAGACCTTTATTTGCAGAAGTTATTAGTGGAAATTAAAGTGACAATGCAAGCAGATAGGACTAGCTACTCCTACAGGCTTCTTACCTGGATTTGAATCATTAAGGCACCGCCAAAAGTAAACCTGAAACAAGAGGATTAGAAGAAACAGAATTAGTGTTATGGGCGGCGAAAAAGCCGGTTATCTATTGCACTTCTGCAGGGCATTTGCAGATAATTGTTTTCCTCTTTGATACTCACGGAAAGGCGACAAAGTACTTCTTCAAACAAACAGAAAATATCAAACTTTACTCACCAAATGGCCAGGGCAATGTTTGGGAAGTTCACGTAATTTCTGATAGCGTAAACTGAGGTCTCCTTCGGTATCCAACTGACAGAAGGGAATCAAAACAACATACACAGATGTTAGTGGTAAGCATTTGAATTCAATTTGCCTCCGGTCTAAAATAAACTTGCATAAGTGTGAATACAAAATGCACAGAAAAATTTCGCACTCGACGTATTTGAGGACGATAAACAAGAACAATTTATTTACAATGAACCATTGCTTTTCAGTTCGCTTGGATTTTCAAATATGCCCCGCCGGGCAAGATAAAAGAGATCGTATGTAGCATGAACATTACCTCATTACAGTGATGTTTGCAAGCTTCAAATTCAGCGGCATCGGAGCAGCAACTGATGGCTGGAAGATGAGCTGTGAGATAAAATAACCAAAAAATTGTAAGTGTAAAAGACTTCTGAACAACTGCAGTAACGAATTGTGACGGTGAAGTCGATCCATTTGACGTAAATCCCAGCTACCCGCAGACCAAAAATCGAACCACCGGAAATTTACATTCAATTCAATGCGAGAAGATTCACTCGGATTCGCGTGGTTGTCTTAATTATTTCTTCTGTTAAATCCACAAACCGTGATTAATTCTAACAAGCTAAAACCAACAGAGCTAGCAGTTTACAAAAGAGCCGGCTAAGGCGCGAGATTAGCCGACCCGGGGAACGATCAAACAGCAGAATCCCTACTAAGCGGTTCTAGCGGTTGTAAGGTGAATGAGCGCACACGGAGAGGACAAGAAATCATGTCGAAAATAATCAGGGAATCGCTTCGTGTTACACAGTACCTTGGCCACTGCTACTTCTCAGAAGAGTAAAGGCGAGCCACAGTGTGCTAAAGAGCACGAACATGTTGTCGGGGAGAGATCAAGAGCTTCATGGACTATGTCGAGCACTTTTCCAGTCTAAAGAATATCAACCGATGCATGGTTAGTGTTATAGAAATGATGGCAGATATGCGCCTCTCAAAAGTAAGCCATTCAACAACCAATCACATCAAACAGCCAATTAGCGGGAAATTGTTGCGAGCGAAAAGAGCCAATCAGGAGCGTGTATTCAGCAGGACGTGTGACGCTTCAGTGTTGTAAAGCATCCCACTTAGTTTGTTTTGGGTTTGTGAGCTGTAATCGGGATAATGGATTAAATCAGGATGTTGTGACAGCTCAAAAGGCTAAAAAATGACCTAGTCTCTTGTTTGTTTTGCATTGTCTGCTTTATTTAGAATTCAAACTCCGCTTCCCTTAATGTGGATTAAGACAGTTTAAAGTGTTCCAAATAAATGAAACAGTCAATCCAACGTTGTCATTTAAATCGAATCCGTAAAATAATATTCTTCGGATGCGAGCGAATATCCCAACCATCGATTGCGCCTCCTCCAACCCTTGAACAGTAACGAAAACCCGTTCATTGTACAACATTGACATAAAAAGATACTTTAAAAACATTTCCTGACAAATTCAGAATTTGAGTGTGTTTGAAAGTCGTCTCGAATTTTCCTTTCACTTTGTTTCCGACTTCAAAGATAAAGTTCGTCATATCTCTTAGTCCTTTGTCAAGAATTCTGAATTACGCACAAAACCCGGTCGAGGTTGTCATATGAAAGGAAATTATCTCGCAATAAATATTCATCCTCTTTACTTTATATTACCCAGTTCGAGACTTTCGTGACATCCTCTATTAATAAACTGAAGGTGGTCGCTCACAAATAAGGCTTTGATAGTGACAACCTGTCAATAGTGTTAGCGAAAATGCATCCAAAATTGCTTTTAGATTTGGAAGAGTGAACGGAACGAAAATGTCGATGTGCGCTCGAATAAAAGAACCAAAGTAATGAGCCGTACGATAACGTAAGCATGCAAACAACCCGATCGAAATCCATACATGTTTTTTAACTGCCATTAATACAAGCTGATATGATTATGACAAAGAAGTTTTCAACGCTTTTACGAGAAGAGCTGAATTTGCATATAAAAAATAAAGACTTTTCAAAATGATAAAATATTATTCCTCAGTTTTCTCAACAAAAACAGATCTGAACTTTCACTTTCCGATCTCCAACTTGCTAAGCTTAAACTGTTTTTATTTGTTTTTTGAAACGTGTTTACTCTTCACTTCACAAAGGTTTGAACAGTCAATTCTTTTTTAAAAAGCGTTCTTTTCGCCCAAGGCGATGTGATTGACTAAAGAGCATATTTGACATGTGTATTGTTCGTTTTCATCTAAACTGCATATACTTCTCGAAAGCTTTTACGCATCCATAATTGATCGAAAAACGAATTTTACCTCCAAATTAAAACGTACTTTTTGAAGACAAAGTTGATAGGAGACACTCAAAATGAAATATGCACTCTTCACACAATGTCAATATTACAAAACGAACGACACAGTGAAGATAAATCAGGCTGTACAATGGTTGATCAAGTCATTATCTCTTGCGGTTGGTAGAATGTTAACTCAGTATTAACCCACTCGAGCGAAATTCCTTTTTTTAGTGAGATTATTATAGCCGGGTGCTCTCGCTAAGCTCAATCGCCGCCTAAAGGCGTGTTTTTCGCAAAGCCGTTGCTGAGTACTTACGAAAGAATTTCATAGTTTTTCTATACCACACTCGACTGACTGAGTCATATATTGTTTCACAATAGTCGAGAGACGAGAAGAATAAAAAAACAAACATTTTTCTCGGTCTGAGGTTTCCTGTAGGAGAATCAATTTGCTGAGGGCACCATTTGACCACAAATCTCCTAATCGTCCAGCCTACATCGTGCTTTTTAAATGTCATTACTTCTCCTTTTGCATACATAATGCTCTCACATTAAATGTAACCGACTTGGCTTTAATCACGCCTTTCCTTATCGGACTTGATCCAATTTTTTATAATCTGCTTTTATTCCACGGTTCTGTAGGTGTTAATGTGATTGCTATTTAAGTATGCAAACCGATGCTTTCACCAGAAAGATATTTTATCGTTTAGATCCAGGTCGGCTTTTCAGTGCTATCGATCATTTATTTATTTATTTATTTATTTATTTATTTATTTATTTATTTATTTATTTATTTATTTATTTATTTATTTATTTAACCATACTGTCTCTGAAAAAATCCCATCGCCTGACTGCGTCGACTCAAAATGTGTTCAGGTGATCGGACGATCATCTGGAAACAACTCCGGGCACGATGTGGCCGCGACGATCGATCTGGAGCTGAAGTCTTGATATAAGCTGCATGCTGGCCATATAACCTTCCGGTGTTATTATGATCAAAAGTTCTTGTGACAACCGGTCTTTTTAGCCTAGGAACGTACGTATATACAATTCTCAACAACTTAGTAATGAACATAAGCAAGAGAGAATGAGCTCTCTTGACATAAGTTACCGCAAGAGAAAAATAGCCTTCAAAACAGTAGCCCATCCTGCTTTTTAAAAAAAATATACATAGAGGACAGTGAACACTAGCCCCAATCCCCTCTTTTTGCCCGCCAAACCCACAGGCTACTTGAATAGTGGGCAAAGTCAATGCCTCACTACCCGAAGCCATGTTTTCAAGAAGAGATTTCTACAGGCATGTTTTTCCTACGTTAATTCTTTTGCCCTTTGCTAACCTTGACAACAAGAATGTTTATCTTAGAGAGACAGACGTAAAGTTAATAATGTTGAAGACATTGATAAGTTGTGTTTCAAGATTTAATTCCTCATCGAGTTAAGTCGATATCTAGATCAGTTACATACACAGGAAACCATGCTTTTTGTTGTTGTTGTTCGCACTCACCACGCCCCTTTCTGTGGTCATCGTCTCCCGGCCATGGCCTGGACTTGGGAGATAATTTTCATTCATTTATCTGTTATTTGTTAAGTTTCTATTTTGGCAATTTGAGCCTCAAACTATTAAGGGCGCCGAACGGATTGTTGTCGGGAAAAAAGTCAAATGGAATGATCAATGAAGAGACCTTACGCTTGCCCTATCCTTTCTCAACGATCTCAATCCTCGTTCCCGTGTCTTGATTATTCTAAATTTGCGAAAAAGAGCAATCAGCTCCTGCCAAAAAACACGTCTATGTTCGTTTTAATGACAACAATGTGTTCGAAATCAGATTTTAAAATCAATCTAACCAGCATTACAAACGCCGTCTATGGGTCTCTTTAGTTTGAGGGGGACCCTCGGGTTCAACCCACGGCCAAATCACAAACCTGGGACCCGTTTCTAGCCCAAAAAGCTGCTTTGTGATTGCCGTGTTTAAATTTATGATCAAAGTTTTAATAGTTTTGAAGGTAAGTACAACAAAACTATCAGTTAAAGAAACAAAGAATCGGGCTCGCGTGCTCAGAAACACAACTTGATCCACCAAGTGGACCGGTTGGTGAGCTAGGACTAGCACTATTGTTCCTTGGGTTTTTTAATTTTAAAATTTGACTTCGGACCCTAAAAGTTACCCGGACGTTCGAGAAACGAAACCTAGGGTCGCGAACTGATTAAAAAAATATACTGGCTCTGTCTGATGATCGCGTCCAACGGCGGCGTTAATTGAGGTCTAGGCCTTGTCTCCTTAGTCGTCCTTCTACAGGAGCCCATAACCCTCCTGCCTTCTATTATTCGGTTAAATCAGGAGCTTATTACCAGGAGCCTCCATCTCCCATATAAGCCCTTGGAGTTAACCCTTTCCCGTTTTAATTTTTTCAGGATAGAAACAGCTTTCGCGGAATATTGTTCACTCTGAGCAATATCCAGTCAGAATATTGCTCCTGGTTATATTCGAAGGGGAAAAAGATCGACTTACATTACTCTTTGAGATTATGGATTCCCTTCGGTTGCGTAGGACTGAGAGGAAAATTGATTCTGTTCGCAATTATTTTAGCTGTTGATTATTTGTAAGATGCTTTGAATGATTGTTTAACCAGGTATTTCTGAAAGCAATTGTATGTTTAATGTGTGCAGACTGGAATTAGTATTTTTCTATAAAGAAAGACTGCTTTGTGCAGATGTTGTATGCAAGTCATTGTCGGTAGTTACGCTTCCTTTTCCGGATGTAAGTTTAACTTAAGCTTGTAATTTATACTTTTTATTATTTTTTTGACCTTGTAGGAAGGTCGTGGAGTCCTACCCAGGTTTCCTCAATTTTTCCCGCCCTTTTCGCGGTTTCTTAAACTTCGTTTATTAGTCTGATGTATTGTTCGCAATTTTGTTTCTTAGGCTCAGCTTGGGCTCCTTATAAAGCATAGCGGTCTACTACGGCACCGTTAACCAGAAATAATGCTAGTTGTTACACGTGTGTTTTTGGGAAGACTGTTGTTTAGAAAAGAATAGAGAGTTTACCCGGAAGTGAAGTCTTTCTCTCCCACTGTGAGCCCTTCACAAATTTCATGGGTTGGGAGGGTTATGGTAAGCTCAGTAAAGGACGATGATAACAATCAATTACGCCTTAATATTTGCTGTTGTCAGAGCTGTTTAAATCAAAAAACAATAAAAAAAGGACATATGTCAGTTGTTATGTGTTCCTGCCAGCTGCTTCATATTATTTAAATTGCTTCAATTTCTTTATAATTCGTAAGAAACGCTTTCGACGTCAAGGATAATTAACCTTTATATACCTTTGATACAAGTCCATAACTCTGTTTTTCCTTCTACCTTTTTATGCCATCGTAATGTGACAAACCTTTCTTTGCCTGGAAGCTTTTTGAAGTACTTGACGCATTGGGAAGACCGTAAAGAACTGAGCAATGTTCCAGTTAACTGACTACATCAAATCTTCAGAGTATTTTATGTTTACACATATGCTTTGGGCTGTTTGAAATGTCACCAAAGACTGACAGTGATTTATAGAAAAGGCCATCAGCTGTCACTAAAGGCAATTTTTAGTGTACCATGTAATTAAAATGATAATTTTATCTTACTGATTTTCGTTAGAGCGAATGCGTGATAGGAAGCTTTAACACTGGACTTTGAGAAAGTCAAGTCACTTGCAAAGTTGCCTTCTAATTACGGAATTCGCTGCGACAGGGCCGTACCAAAAGGAGCCGCTCTCAGTCAGGAAAGCATAGCCGAACTCAGTGACTCAATTGCATGTCAATGACTTTAATTTCAATCCAGCTGTATGATGTATCATTCATC